GTCAATATCCAAAATCAGACTGATTATGTTCTTTGTAGCCAAAGATGGAGATGCTCTATACAGTCAGTATAAATAAGACTTGGAGCTGACTGTGGCTCTGATCATGAGTTGTTTATTGCAAAATTCAAGCTTAAATTGAAGAAAGTAGAGAAAAACCAGTAGGCCATTCAGGTATGACCTAAATCAAATCTCTTATGATTATACAGTGGAGGTGACAAATAGATTCAAGGGATTAGATCTGGTAGACAGAGTGTCTGAGTAACTATGGATGGAGATCTGTAACACTGTACAGTCATCAAAACCATCCCAAAAGGAGAAGAAATTCAAGAAGGCAAAGTGGTTTTCTGAGGAGGCTTTACAAATAGCTGAGGAAAGAAGAGAAGTGAAAAGCAAGAGAGAAACAAAAAGATATGCCCAACTGAATGCATAGTTCCAGAGAAGAGCAAGGAGAGATAAGAAAGCCTTCTTAAATGAACAATGCAAAGAAATAGAGGAAAACAATAGAATGGGAAAGACTAGAGATTTCTTCAAGAAAACTGGAACTATCAAGGGAATATTTCATGCAAGGATGGACGTGATAAAGGACAGAAATGGTAAGAACCTAACAGAAGCAGAAATGATTAAGAAGAGGTGGCAAGAATACACAAAAGAACTGTATAAAATGGTCTTACTGACCTGGATAACAACAATGGTATGACCACTCACCTAGAGCTAGACATACTGGAGTGTGAAGTTCAGTGGACTATAGGAAGCATTACTACCAACAAAACTAGTGGAAGTGACAGAATTATAGCTGAGCTATTGAAATTCTTCAAAGATTATGCTGCTAAAGTGTTACACTTAATATGTCAACAAGTGTGAAAAGTCAGCAGTGGCCAAAGGACTGGAAAAGGTTGGATTTCATTTCAATACCAGAAAAGGGCAATGCCAAAGAATGTTCAAACTACTGTACAACCACATTCATTTCACATGTTGGCAAGGTTACACTCGAAATCCTTCAAGCTAGACTTCTGCAGTGTGTGAACCAAGAACATCCAGATGATATAAGCTGGGTTTCAAAGAGGAACAAGAGGTCAAATTGTCAGCATTCACTGGATGGTGGAGAAAGCAAGGGAATTCCAGGAAAAAAAAAAAAAATCTATATCTGCTTCACTGACTACCGGAAGCTTTTGACTGTGTGGATCCCAACAAAACTGTGGAGAATTCTTGATATGAGAATACCAGACCACCTTACCTACCTCCTGAGAAGCCTGTATGTGGATCAAAAAGCAACAGTTAGACCCTGACACAGAACAACAGACTGGTTCAAAATTGGGAAAGGAGTACAACACAGCTGTATATTGTCACTCTGCTTATTTAACTTATATGCATAGTACATCATGAGAAGTGCTGTGCTGGATGAAGCACAAGCTGGAATCAAGACTGCCAGGAGAAATATCAACAACCTCAGATAGGCAGATGACATCACTCTAATGGCAGAAAATGAAGAGGAACTAAAGAGCCTCTTGCTGAGGGTGAAAGAAGAGAGTGAAAAAGCAGGCTTGAAACTCAACATTCAAAATACTAAGATCACAGCATTTGGTCCCATCACTTCATGGCAAAAAGAAAGGGGAAAAGTGAAAGCAGTGACAGATTTTACTTTCTTGGGCTCCAAAATCACTGTGGATGATGACTGCAGCCATGAAATTCAAAGATGCTTGCTCCTTTGAAGGAAAGCTATGACAAACCCAGACAGCATATTAAAAAGCAGAGACATCACTTTACCAACAAAGGTCTGTCTAGTCAAAGCTATGGTTTTTCCAGTAGTCATGCATGGATGTAAGAGTTGGACTATAAAAAAAGCTGAGCACCAAAGAATTGTTGCTTTCAAATTGTGCCGGAGAAGAATGGAGATTTCCTGGGACAGCAGGAGATCAAACTAGTCAATCCTAAGGGAAATCAACCCTGAATATTCATTGGAAGGATTTTGCTGAAGCTCCAACACTTTGGCCACCTGATGTGAAAAGCTGACTCATTGGGAAAGACCCTGATGCTGGAAAAGACTGAGGGAAACAGGGAAAGGGGACAGCAGAGGAAGAGATGGTTATATAGCATCAACAACTCAATGAACATGAATCTGAGCAAAGTCTGATATGGCGGAGGACAGAGAGGCTTTGCATGCTACAGTTCTTGAGGTCGCAAAGAATTGTACACCGTTTAGTGACTGACAACAACAACAATATTACTACCCAAGTAGCAATGTTGAGTAAACATATAGATATATGTCTTGAGTTCAGGAGAAAAGGAAGCAAGCAAGAGATCTGTAGAAGGGTAGATATGTAAAACCTAAAGATTTGCAATTGAATTTTATTTGTTAGGAAAAGATACAAATAAAAACATAAATTGTCTGATGTATATGAACCTCAATGGTCCAAGAATGGGTTCTGCAAATAATAATAAGGGATTAGGAACTCTCAAGTATATAGCTATACTTGAGACCTATATTTCAACCCTATAGCTAAGAAGTTGTTTGGATTTTTGGTTTCTTTTGGGTTTTTGTTGTTGTTTTGCATTTTTTTTAATGTAGGCCTAACTATGCCATAACTGTGCTCAGAACTCTTTAATGTCTCCCCAAGTCTAAGAAGGAAACAGAAACTCCTTAGTATGACTTGTGTATTCATCATGTAGCATCTGCTTAATGGTTCATTCAGCCTCATTTCTTGCCACTATCCATCACTTTCATAAAGTATTCTTCACTTCAAAGAGACTGAATGATTTTTAGAAACACAGAGCTTCCGTCTCTTTCTGATTTTGCCTCTTCTCTGCCAAGACAGTGAAGAATCCACCTGCAAATCAGGCGACCTTGGTTCCATCCCTGGGTTGGGAAGATCCCCTGGAGAAGGGAATGGCTATCCACTCCAGTATTCTTGCCTGCGAAATCCCACAGACAGAGGAACCTGGTGGACTGCAGTCCATGAGGTCACAAGAATCAGACATGACTGAGTGACTAAACTACCACCACTGTCTTTCCCAGGCTAACTCATATAGCTTTCATAAGGTTACGATTAAGTATTATTTCATAGCTCACTTTAATTGCCTTTTAACCAACTAAATTGTTAACTCTCTTAAAGGCAGTGTGCTTGTTCCCTGCGGCCATAATAAATGACCACAAGCGTAGTGGTTGATAACAATGGAAGGCTGAAACCTCTAGGGGAGAATGCTTCTCATTCCTTTTCCACACCTCTGAAAGCTGCTCCCTCCTGGGTTCATGGCTCTGCATCAGGTTCTTTTCTATCCCAGCTTCCATCGGCACATTACCTTCTTCTCTCATACCTCCCTCTACCTTCCTCTCCTAAAGGACCCTTGTAATTGCGTTTAGAGACCACTCAAATAATCCAGAATAATCTCCTATCTCAAGATCCTTAACGTCATCACATTTGCAAAATCTCTTCTGCCATGTACGGTAACATATTCACAGGCTCCCTAGGACTAGGACTTGAATCCCCTCTGTGGGCCACTATTCAGCCTACCGTAGTCAAGACAGGGTCTGCTCTGTTTATCACTCTAGCCACAACAGCTAGCACTGTTACATAGTTAACTATCCGTTTACATTTTCAAATGAAGTTGGTGAGTTTTTATCACCTAAATATCTCATCAATCTTCTTCTAAGATATAATGAGACAAAAGTCATTATCTCCCGTCAACTTATTGTTGATAGACAAAAGGCAGCTTTCACTGGAGCAAACAGAATTTGTTCTTCTAGTGTCAGATTCAACAAAGTTTGTTCAACTGTGGGGGCTCAGGGGGAGCAACCTGGGTCAGGTTATTTAGCTGATATGTAGAAAAGACCACTGGGGTTCCTATCAAATTTAAATCTTACTATAAACTTCTAATTGCCTTCACAAAACTTAACTAATAAATCCTTCTGGGAGGACCAGTGCTTTCTGTGAGAATGGCTAATGAGGGTCAGTTTAGGGGATTTAGTTAACAGGGGTGAGGGAAGTCCTGGGAGTCTGGATCCCAAGGACACAGGCAAGGCTTGATTTTCTTAGCCTAATCAGAAAGGAAGCATTTGGGGATGAAAAAATCCCAGTAATGTTTTCCTTTCATAGCACAGTTCATTTAAAAGTTTAAATGCATGAGAAAACTAGTAAAGGAAGTACAAAACAGAGTTAAGTGATTTTAAAGAGAATGTAAGAGCTACTCTGAGTGTATAGTAGTAGTAGTGTTAGTCACTCAGTTGTTCTCTTTGACACCCCATGGACTGTAACCCACCCGGATCCTCTGTCCATGGGATTCTCCAAGCAAGAATACTGGAGTGGATTGCCATTCCCTTCTCCAGAGGATCTTCCCCACCCAGGGACTGAACACAGGTCTCCTGCATTGCAGGCAGATTCTTTACCATCTGAACTACAGGAAAGTCCCACAATAAAGACATTTCTCATCTTCCTTCCCAGTTAAGTATCATCAGGTGACTAACTGCTAGCAAATGGAATATAAGTGGTTGCTTTGTGTGCAGCTTCTAGTAACAAAAATCAAAGGAAAAGGCATACCCTTCTTTGCTCCCCTTTTCCTTACTAGAAATGTGGGCTAGAAAGTGGTTGTGATGATTAGAGCTCCAGCAGCTATTCTGGATCATGAGGCAGCAGGTTAAGAATGTCAGAGTATCAAGGTGGAAAGAGGTGAATCTTGATAGTCAGGGAGCTACCACACAAATCCTGCATTGCCTGTTACACAGAAAAAGAGTTCTGTCTTGTGCAGGGCACTTTTATTTTGATTTATCAATTACTCATAACTGCATCTAATCCAAAATGATTGAGAAGGTAGGTTCTTAGAAGTAGGTGCTGAACTTAAAAAAGAAAAGTCATTGATTTAATGGATGTGGTAGACATCTAGTACAATAAGGATATAGTTACTACAGAGTAAAAACTGAGTGACCCCTGTTTCATGACAGCACAGCTTTTAGGGCAGTCTAAATTCTTAGTCAAACTGAAACTTGTTCACCTTGCAAGGCAGATACCATGTCCAACAAGGCTGCAGCTCTAGGGGAAATGACAGGAAAGATTCAGAATGCTGGTTGGTGAGTGTTGGCTACTGCTTTCCACTTTTAACAAAGACCTACAAGAAAAAAGTTAAACTCAGGCTAGAGCCAGCCAGCATGCAAGTAGAGATGGAAGGTAATTCATCACTTTGCTAAGGGAGGCACCCTCTACCTACTTCCTGAAATGTAGGTTTATGGAGAATTCAATGATTCAGAACATTGCTAGGTTGAAAAATTTTACATCTTCAGTATCTTGAATTTCACAGTTTCACTATTTTGAAGCAGTAGGGGGAGATTGGGAGGTGGGGTAACTGAGAGGTTGAAGCCCACCCTACAAAGACGGAACACACTGGCAAAGATGGTATTATAGGTGTTTCCTTCGCCCCTGATGCAGAGTCACCAATAACATGAGGGGTGGTGAAGGAGAGTTTTAAAAGCTTTAAAAGTCTTAAAAACCACAGTCTTAAAAACTAGGTTTATTCAAGAACTTTGACTGTGGTCATTTATACATGAAGTTGACCTAAACTGAACACATTGAAAAACTGTTTTTCTGTTTTATTTTGTGTCAGAGAATTGTATTGGCAAAATGTTCATGTCTAGTCTGCATATGCCTTGTATTAATCATCTGCCTAATAAACAACCCCTAACTTAGTGGTTGAAAATTGGACTATAAAGAAAACTGAGCACTGAAGAATTGATGCTTTTGAACTGTTGGTGTTGGAGAAGACTCCTGAGAGTCCCTTGGGCAGCAAGGAGATACAACCAGTCTATTCTAAAGGCAATCAGTCCTGAATCTTCATTGGAAGGACTGATGCTGAAGCTCCAATACTTTGGGCACCTGATGCAAAAAACTGACTCACTGGAAAAGACCCTGATACTGGGAAAGATTGAAGGCAGGAGGAGAGGAGATGACAGAGGATGACATAGTTGGATGGCATCACCAAATGAATGGACATGAGTTTGAGAAAGCTGGGAGTTGGTGATGGACAGGGAAGCCTAGCATGCTGCAGTGCATGGGGTCACAAACAGATGGACTCAACTGAGCAACTGAACTGACCTGAACTTAGTGATATGAAACTACGATACTTAATTCCTATTACAGTCACCCCTCACAGTTTTGGGAGATGGCTGTGCTCAATTAGGTGGTTTACACTTAGAGTTGTTCATATAGTTACAACCAGACAGTGGATGGTGCTGGAGTCATCATAACAATTTCCTCATTCATGTGTCTGGTGGTGTTTGGTGCTGGCTGTTGCCTAATAAACGGCAACTAAATCCCTGAGCCCAAATACTATATGTGACCTCTCCATGTGACCTGGCCTTCCTTTAAACATGGTGGCTGGCTTCCAGAGAGCAAGTTTACCAGTGAATCACGTAGAAGCTTTATCCTCTATGACCTAGCTTTGGAAGCCACATGGTAACATTCTTCCCTACACTGTTGTTTGAGGCAGTCCAAAAGTTCCAAGTTTCATGGAGAAGAGGACACAGACTCTACTTCTTGATGGGGAATTAATAGGAAGGTTTTAAGAACTGGTGTACTGAGAGGTATTATTAAAGCCATCTTTGGAAAATACAAGTCTATAGTGGTCTAGCCTCCAAAATACAATTCCTGAGCTCCTCATCCCGAAAGACAGCAAAAAACAGTACATGATCTGAAAAAGTTTCAAGGCCCTCAATAAGGGCTTACTATCCATGATTGTCCTCAGAGTTGTCTTTGAAGGTAAAGGGAAATGAAAAACTTCCCAGGAACAAAGCCAGAACCACAGAGCATAATGGGCAAGGGAGTTCCCTCCAAAAAATTAGGGATCCAGGTACTCGAGGAACTTATTCCACACTGTTCCAGCCCACAGGGAATTTGGAATTCCTAAGGACTAATGACTGATGAGCGTTTCCGATTCTCCTCACTTCTGAATGGGTGATTTTATTGAAATTAGCCTGCTACTTCTCCATTATTGAATATTGGATGTGCTAATGGAAGACAACCTGAGTTTTAGTTTTTGGGTCACCAGAATATAAGGATTCATATCAAGACCTGATGGTTAGGTTTGCCTATGTTCCACAGATCCTGGACTTAGAAGCTTAATAGGATTTGTGCCTACTTCCCTAAGAAGAAAATGTGGCCAAAAATATGGAAAACAAATTTGTCCCAGACACTCATGTTCCCCTTCTTCCATAGGTATATAATAATTCATTTTTAGTTAGCCACATGGCACCATAGAAAATTTGCTGTATACCCCAGCATTCCTTAGAACTGGGTGCTGGCATGTAATTAAGTTCTAGGAGACAGAAACATTATGTATAATTTCCAGTAAATGTCTTTAAAGGGAGAAGACTTGCCTTTCATCAATTCTTTCTCTTTTTTGCTAAACCACTGTGATGTCTGGAATTCAAATGGCCCTCTTGGGCCATGAGGCAGTATACACTGAGATGGTTGAGCAATAAAGGGTGTCACTGTTCCTTGATGATTCTTAAGCTTTCATACCCATCCTGGAATGCCTACTTCCGGGTTCCTTTATATGAGAGAAAAACTCTGTGTATTTAAGCTGCTATTTGTTTAAGCTTCTGTTACTAACAGCAAATCAAATCCTACTTACTGTAACATATAGTTGAGTGGGGGATAATTCTATAATACAATGTAAACTAAAATAAATGTTAATTGTATAATTATACAGTAGCATCCTTTCACACAAAATCAAGCAACAAAATGTGATTCAGGGAAGTCCTCTGCTCCCATATAGGAGCCAAAGTTTCTCTTTCAAAATGCAAACCTGATCCCATAACTCCCCAGCTTAAAACTATCCTCTGGGGACTTCCCTGGCAGTGCAGTGGTTAAGACTCTGTGCTCCTAATGCAGGGGGTGCAAGTTGGATTCCTGGTTTGGGAACTAAGATCACACATGCTGCAGCCAAAAAGAAAAAAAAAAAGCTTGAGAAAAAAACTGTCCTATGATTCCCCTTTGGACACATCTCCTTATCCTGGTATATAATTTCCTGTGTGATCTGGTCCCTGCCATCCCTCCAAGCCCATTTATTCCCAAGGTCCCACCTACTCTCTGACATCTCCCTACACTTGTCTTTCAGTTCCTTTTGCTCAAAACTGGACTTGGAGGCAGAGATCATGTGATTGCAGAATACATTCTCCAAAATAGATAGTAGCTTCTCAACTGTTTTGATATTTTGGAATAAACAACTATGAAGATTACAATGAGAGAAAGCATAATAAGCCAGGATCATGATATGTGTAATGCTGCTGCTAAGTCGCTTCAGTCATATCTGACTCTGTGCCACCCCATAGACAGCAGCCCACCAGGCTCCCCCGTCCCTGGGATTCTCCATGCAAGAATCCTGGAGTGGTTTGCCATTTCCTTCTCCTATGCATGAAAGTGAAAAGTGAAAGTGAAGTCATTCAGTCATGTCTGACTCTTAGCGACCCCATGGAGTATAACCTACCAGGCTCCTCCATCCATGGGATTTTCCAGGCAAGAGTACTGGAGTGGGGTGCCATTTCCTTCTCCAGATATGTGTAATGTCACATCACCTACTGCTCTTGATCTTTGTCCCCATGTTCCCTCCTACATGATGCTCTTTCATTGGCTCTTCATCCAGATGAATTTATTCATTCTTCAGGTATCAAATATCCCTATCAAATGTCCCTATTAGAGTAACTCATCAAGCCAGGCAACTTTGTATGATTATTTGATAATAGGTCAGTTTTCTCATGGAGCCATGTATATCTGCATCTGTGAATATTTGATAAATAAGTTTTCTCCCAACTAGATTGTATGTTCCATAAGTCAGACAAGATGCTGGTTTTAGCTCCTCAGTACATCTCCTCAGAGCAGAGCACTGTGGCTAGCATATAATGAGCTCTCAATAAATATCTGTTGAATGAATAATTGAGATGCTCAAGACTGAGCCAAAAAGAATGAAAAAAAATTGATAGGGTGATAATGAAAAGAAGAGCTGATGAAAAAGTACATAGTCACAGCAGCATAAACATGGATGACATATTTAGGAGAAGGTAATCAATGTGCTGCAAATCACTGTTCTAGACGATAAGAGGATATAAAGGGGTATAAAGCATGGTCATTGCCATTTAGAAATGCACAATTTAAGGTATAATAAAACTTGTACCAAAGAAAAATAGTCAACTAACCATGAGAGTTATTTAAAAAATGTGTTAAATGAGTAAGAGCAACCAACGACATGCCACAAATTACATTAGGAAAAATTAAAACAGATTAGAAGAAACGAGGGATAATAACAATTTCCATGTCCCTTGTTATGTACTAGGGACTGTATTAAGCACCTGATGTGTTATCTTACCTAATCTTTACAATAACTAATGAGCAAGGTATTAATAGCCTTAAAGATGAGACTCAAAGTGTTTAAACATGCCTAAGTAACAAAGCTTATATATAAAATACCGGAATTTGAACCCTAGTCTTTCTAAATTCAAAACCAATATACTAATATCTATGCTATAAAGATGAGAGTTCAGACGGACTCCAAAGAATGGGTAGGAAATACACAAGCTGAAGGAAACTATGAAGGACAATCAGGCAAGGAGTATAATGTGAAAAAAAAAAAAAGGGAAGAAAATTAAGGTGTGATGAGTGGATGGCTTAGTCAAGCCATAGATAGAAAGCCCAAGAAGGAGTAAAGGTAAAGTTGGGGATATAATTTCGGTTAGAATGAGGACAGCCTTTAACAGTAGACCAAACTGGCTTTTGTCCTATAAGCAACTGAAAGTTACTATAAAGTCCTGCATTGGCAAATGGCAAAATGCAAATGGAATGATGGTCTGATTGGAGTGAAATGGGAAAAGAAAAGAAAGAAACAAATTCACATAGGAAAACTCAAGATACCTGAGATCAAAGAATGTTATAACTGATAAGAATTGTAACTTAGTACTAGACCTCATTTTACAGATGAGTAAACTGTAGCCAGGACAATTTAAGAGATTTCCCAGAGATTCCTGTAATTGCTGGGACTGTAACTTGATTTTCTATTATTTCCACTATGGCACAAGTCTAGAAA